TTGATGCCAAACGGAATATCTTCGCTTGTAACCTTTTACGCTTCACTTTCAAAACAAGTCGCAGCCAATTTTTATCAGATTGATTGTTTCTTTCAATACTGGGCATACAATTACATAGACGTTTTACCTATATAGTTAAATTTTATGCCCTAAGACCATTCGCGGTAATTAAGTCATTAAGGGTGCAATTTCACCGCTTACCCGAAGCCGAAAATATAGAAAAGGCAAAGTCAAGGGTTAAATTCATTAATTCTAATGAGAATGCAATAGCGAAGTAAAGCACTGCGGTTTTACATAATTTCTGAGTAAGCTATTCGTACAAATTGAAGTAATCCTTGCATTTAAACTTGTATTCTAAATTAAGATTTAACTTGAAATTAATGTAGAGAATTAGATTTTTGTAGCGTAGTTTACGTGAGATGAGACCACTTGGGGATCACGTGATACGAACCGGCGAATCAGGATGCTGAACCATGAAAGCATAGTAAATTTTAAATTAATGTCTTTTTACAAATTTATTGTCTTAATTTACTGGCTCTTTACAAAATTTTAAACCATATTAAAAGGCTTATGCCTTCAAAATAAAAAAATTCTTAGACCCAACATTTGTTAAAATTTTTTATGTGTATACTGTATGTTGTCGCCAAAAACGTTTGCTTGGCGAGATTTGCGCCGGGGAAACGGAAAAGTATCCCAAAAATAAATGCAAAATCTAATTAGAAATATTGTCTTCAATATCTAGAGCAAAAATTTAAAAGGTTAACAATACTGTTTTTCCAGTACTCTCAACTGCTGTTGGTTTGTTTAATTATGGCAAAGCACACAAGGGTTATCTGCGTAAGGGGAAGGATAGCTTTCGCGGAGGACTTTCTAAGAGAAACTGGCTCGTATAATCGCTACACGTGGGGGAAGATCACGAAAACACCCATACAGCCAGCTCGTTCGCCTGGTTCGTAATTACTACAAAACTTCCACCACGACAAAAAAAAAACCTTTAGGCTTACTAGCGACCGAGTGGTAATAGCCAATGAACACCGGTACTTCGGTCCGAATTCCGCGAACGGAATGGCTGCATGGGCGTTTTCACCATGTGTAACTTGTATACGAGTCAGTTTCCCTTAGAAAGCCCTCCACGAAGGCATCCCTCAACAAAACCTGTTTATAACTAGGTGTACGGATTGCCTTTTGAAATAGGGCTGAAAGGTAGAATATATTCTTAATAATATGTATATACGATTAATCATAAATATAAATAATACGTGCGTATGATTAACTCTTAAAAAATCGAATCCAGCTGGGAACTACCAGTGTTCAATGACTTAACCGCCCGGCCGCTAGTTGGCGTTTTATACTTCGAATGCAACTCCAGTCCTTATGGCTATCATTGAATGATTATTTAGTGACTTGCTAATTGAAAAATTTGAAGTAGCAATAATGTTATTTAAACAATTCCTAGTAATCTGGGCAAATATACGTAACATAATATGAAAACAAACTAGCTGATTGTTTATTTCAATAAGGGCGCAAACGAGCTCAAACTGGATACAGACCGAATGAGCAGCTGACGAATTTTTTTTAACACCAAAATGAAATTTTTTTAATAACAAAACAAATTTTATTTACTAAATATTTATTAAAACACACATAAACAGTAATAATAATAACGCAAAGGAAAAAAAATTCCAACTTATGCCTAAAATCTAAGGGTTAGGATTTGCAAGAAATTTTTATTGACTATACTTTCTAACTCAAACGTACTGATAGTTAAATATTAAATTTTCAGACTAACATTTACTTTTAAGCAGTTAAGATGCACTGAATTAACCACTAAATAATTTACTTTTAAATTCAACTATAAATAAAAAAATTATGAAATTTTTCCAAGTGGGATAAAACTTGAGAATAAATAAATGACAGCCTATTTATATTTCTTTTACTTATTAAATTTTTCTTCGATGCATCCAGAAAAAATACATATATTTATTAGTAAGGGTATAAAGTATTTATTAGCCCAAAAAGCCCAGCCCAGAAGGGCTATTAATTTCGTTCTGGCATTTTCAATCGGTTCACTATAAATGTCCGTTCACTTTTCAAATTGTTGCCATCAAATATTATCGCCCTGCATTATATTTAAAGAAATTAAATAATGAAAAATTTGCATGAATGTATGTATGTTTCTCGCACTGTGATAAAACAACGGTACCCAGAGCCATCAAATTTTGAAAATATGGGCATCTGGAAGCTCCGATTCGGAATTTGCTATATTATCTATTTCATATTTTGTAAAACTTTAACGAACTTTTGATTAATAAACTCCACGATTTCAAAGCGAGCAATGGTAACATTGTACAAAAGGAAAAAATTATCTCCAATCTCCAGCGCCCGATACTGTGTATTGGAAATTGTAAACATATGTTCTTTTAAATATTTTGTAATTTTGCTGTTGAATTGAATTTTATGGTTTAAGTGCGAAGAACATGCTATTTAATAAGTAAAGGTAACATACATAACGTTAAAAAAAACGCCCCTTTGACGTAATATAAAATCTTAAAGCTTTCATAATTTTTTTTCCCTCTGATACTGTGTTGCCATTGCTCGCTTTGAAACCGTCGAGTTTGTTAATCAAAAATTCCTTATAGAGTTTTACAAAAAAAAAAAAAAAAAGAGAGAGAGAGAGATAATAAAACAAATTCGAAATTCGGACTTCCATATGTTTTTTAAAAAAGAGATGGCTGTAGGTACTGTCCTTTTTTCAATGTGCAAGAAACATACATACATTCATGCAGATTCTTCATTATTTAATTTTTTTAAATATAACGCAAGCTCTAATATCTCGTGGGAACAATTTGAAAAGTTAACCCTTTGTTGCATACAAATAATCTAGAGAAATTAAATGATAATGTTTGTATTTTTCTACTTAAAATAACCTTAGTAATAATAAAAAAAAAAAATTATTCAAATTTCGTATTAAATAATTGCTACAGTTTGTTCACTACAGTGGACAGCATTAATATACATACTACATGCATACAAATCTCTTCCCAACGATTTACGGTCAATGCATTTGAAATCATTTCCTGCCTTGTTTGCAGTGATCATTACCATCTTCTAAATGGTAAATCTACAACTGACACGTACATACAGATCCCCCCAAAATACCTTCATTTCGTCGATTGTGATGGAATTCATTTTGCTACGATTTTGTAACCTGTACCTATCGGATTCGAATGTCAAATGTTCAAGAAATTCCTTGCCAAACATAAGCATTTCCAGTGGTGTTTTGGATTGATAAGCAGTACATTTAGGTTTCAATTCACTCTTTTCGGTAGATCTTTATCTACTCACTCCACAATTTTCTCAAACTGACATTTAAAATAAAATGTCTAAAATGCCTAATTATGAATAAAAAATAGCAGTGTAAGAAAATGTAAGCAATATTATATTACTATGAGAAATTGTGCTAACTTGGAAACAGAAGTAGCAGCCATTTTCCAAATAGCGATGCTTTACTTAATGATACTATACAGCCATCTATGATCGACAGTTGAAAGTTCTAATAATATAGAATGAATAGACACAGCAATGGAATATGTTAAAGCATTTACAGAAGAATAAACAACTTTAAACTTTTGTCTACCAGAGTGGACATGATGCAGCAACGGGTTAAACAATGTTTATAGTGAACCAACGCAAAATGCGAAAACGAAATTAATAGTCCTTCTCGGCCAACTGACCCCTTTTGGCTGAAAATTCGACTCAAAATCGTTAAAATCTTAAAGCTTTCTTTAAATTTTTTCAATAATAATATTAATTAATCTATGGGAAGCATATTAGCGAGCCGCATGTAATTGCTACGGAACCGCACGGCCAGTTCGAAACTCTAGGAAAAATACGGAAAAACCTGAATGTTAGATTACGAGAAAGCACATTTTGACTATCAGCTGATCTTATTTTAAGATTTCGTGACGAAAAACTTCCTACTAACACCGTTTATTACAAATAACGTGCTATATATGAAAATTAAATTGTATTTATTATATCATTCATTTAAATTATTAATAAAATGTTTATACATTGAATAAGACCACAGCATATGCATCGTCTGAATTCGTTCGTTTTCATTTACTATTATTAGCAACTCTTAATATGAAAAGCAGAGATTTATACTTTGACGCAACTTTTCAGTTATTTAAGCTTTTAAATTTTAATTTAGGTTTAAATTATTTAGCAAAAAAAAAATGAAACGTTTTAGAATATTATCGAAAATTTATTATTATAGTTCAGATACAAAAACAATTCCCTTTAAATATTAAGCAAATTATATATTACGCGCCGAGTTATACATCAAATCGTTTGCAGAAAAGTTTAATGTACAGAAAGATGGCATTCAAACTTACTTAGAACAAATAAAAAACGAATTAAAATAAATTCACCGAAGTACTGCAATACAAGCTTGCATCACCTTAGTTTAGGGGATCGCTTAGTCCCGCCCCTACAGTTTTTAGAATCGCTGAACACAGCATGTAACATAACGTAACGTAACATAGTTCTAAAACGAGACTACCACATTCTTCCATATTTCATAGTAACTATTCACTTAAATAATTTTAATGCATGTAAACTGAATATTTTTTCATTTAAAAAATATTTTCAACATCGCTATAAAATGCAGCGAATGATTCAAGAAAAATTATAAAAAAGAGGCTTCATTGATTACTTTCATTTAGATAAACACCCTTAAAAATATCCCGAATGAAAACTTTAAATTTATAAATAATAAATAAATAAATTCCGAACGAATTTACGAAAATTTAAGCTGGTTAAAATTATGTTCTTTTCACAGAATTAATTAAAATACTTGCATTTAATATTGATCACTTTACATTATATATATATAGTTTTTAAGGGAAAATTTAAAGGGGCTTGAATCCCTGTTCAGCTAGTAACAATCGGAACTGTGTAAGTGAAATATTTATTTTAAAAAACATTGTTTCGCTTACCTTTTCCATGATCTAATCCATTTGGAGATGATATCCTATATCAGAGCTTCGGAACATCCAAGCGCACGAAGAAAATTATTTGATGAACTTATCCAAATGGCGCCAAGGGAAGAGAAGAAAATGGGAATTCGACCTCATACACCGTTATTGATCCTCGAACAACAGCAGCCGACATCGGCCACTGACTGAATCTGGCAACGTAGGAACGCGCGCTTTCTTGCTGAGGTTGTCATGGTTACCTGCGGACAAATTCATCTCTTTTTCCCGCATAGGGGTGGCGACGACGTGCGCAGGAGGGGCACTTCATGCTTAATGCTTTTTGACGTTTCGTTCTTTTTTTATTTCGGATTATTCTTCAAAAATTGAAGAACTCTAACTGAGATATGGAAAATAAACAAATAAAATGTTAATATGCGTTTTAAGAGTGAATTTCGCTTTGACAGCGTTTTTGCGATGTAAAATAAATAAATGAATCCTTCTGAAAATTATATAAATTATTACAAAATAAAAGGCCATTTTTGCGAGAACAAAAAGATAAGAATGTATGTCTATATATATATTCTTTTTATAGACAAACGCTCATTTAATTTATTCATAATTCTGCATATTTATTTATGTGCACATAAAACTTATTTAGTTGTGTAACCTTTTATTATTATTATTATTTTGTTTTAACTCAGATATTAGTTCCACAAATACATAAATTTTAAGAATTATTTTTACTTACATGTTCACGTACTATCTATAAAGTAGAATGTCTGTTTCTGTGTTTGTTCGTGATTAATTCAGTCACTACTATAGCTATCGTCACCAAACTTTCTACAGTTCTTTTCTAGGTCCTGGAAAAAGTCAATGTCCACTTTTTTCGAAAAGAAAAAAGGCTAAAATTTAGAAATATTAATTAAGAACTCTGAAAATGGTAATTCTAGCCTTGGTTTTTCCGAGTGCAAAAGTCTCGCACATTTCGACAACATTCTTAATGCAAACTGAAAAAATTCCGCCAAGATACATTTTTTGAATTTCTCCCTAAATTTCGCACCACATTTTACAAAATTTAATATCTAGGCATAATTTGAGTCGTAGAATCGAAATATGGAAAAAATTGGTATGTTATTTCAGAAAAAGTCCTATTTTAAGTCAAAATACCTATGTTAGAACAATGCTATATATATCTAATATATATACTAAGTCGCACTTTCGAGACATGAAAACTGCAATTTTTTTTAATTTTGTCAATCGGCTCAATAGAACGGGAGATATAGAAGATATAGAACTGTCCCTTCTTTTTTTTTTTTTTTTTTTTTTTTCCGCAGTGTACCGTGTGATACTAAGAGGAGCTGTACGAGTATTTTTTTTTTTTTTTTTAAAGTTTCAGAACTATAAAGTCTTTCTTTTACTAAAAATAAAAGCTATTATCGTTTGTGCGTTCATTGGATCCGTTACAAACCAATACGCACGCAACAACACTTATATTAAGAGGATAGTCGCTATTTTATCATTATTGTTACTAATAGATATGAGAATAATTCACCGTAAAGTTCGGGTTAATCCAGTTCTTCTTAACCTGTGTAATGCAGGCCTGTTGCTGTCTTTCAGATTTTCTAGATGGTTTTCAACGAATTTTAGTAGAAATGCAATTACATCATCCATGTGGAGTCGGCAACGTCAAAATGGATATTTCCTTTGAAAAATGATACCCAACATTTTTTGCGATTACAATACTTTCTTTGCTTTGGAAAAAGAAGTAAAAATGTGACAAGAAACATCGTCTTTTGAGTGTAAGAATTATTGTGTTAGTTACTGGTTATCACTTTCGGAATAAATTATTTTATTGCAAAGAGTATTTTGATGATATTTATTTTGTAACATAACAAGCAAGTCTTAATTTAAAAAATAAATAAATAGATAAATGAAAAATCTGAGGGCTTTCAGATTTTTTTTTTATATTTCCAAAGGGGCGAGGTTTTTTTTTTTTTTTTTTTCCATTTACACATACATACACGTTTCGAGAGCATTTGGGTTAATGCCCCTTTCGTATAAAAGTATTTAAAAACGGCATATCTTTAGAATTCCGGATAGACAGTCTCAAGCACACTAGAATTTTTTTTTTTTTCCCGTAGTGTTGCCATTGCTAACTTTGAAATCATTGAATTCGTTAATGAAAAATTCGTTAAATTCTTAGCAGCTATAGTCATTTTTTAAATTGTTGCCACCAAATATTAGAGCCCTGTCTTATATTTAAAGAAATTAAATAATGAAGAATCTGCATAAATGTATGTATGTTTCTCGCACTGTGATAAAACAACCGGTACCTAAGCCATCAAATTTTGAATGATGTGGAGGAGGTTCATTCAGCCAAGGACGACCAACTGCGACGACGAGCGCCGATGACCGATATTTGACATTATGTGCACGCAGGAATAGAACCGCTACTCCGACTTTTTAGATCCTCCCTTCTGCAGCCCGGAAGGTGGTATCAACGTCAACTGTGCGTAGAAGGCTTCACGAAGGTGGTCTGTATGTGAGACGACCAGCCATTTGCATGCCGCTCACGTCACGCCAGAGGAGGGACCGTTTGCAGTAGGCACAAACACGTTCACTGGACGCTTGACCAGTGAGGGCTGTTCTCTACGGATGAGCCAGGTTTAGTCTAGAAAGCGATAGTAGGTGTTATTTGATATGAAGAGAACCTGGAACCCGTTATCATTCGTCAAACATCCGTGAAAGAGATGCATACGGAAGGGGCAAGTGTCTGCGTTTGGGGTGGCATCTCTTTGGGTGGACGCAACAGACCTCCATGTCTTTCCAATCGAGCAACCCGTGAATGCTTCAGTTTATAGAGATGACATCCTTGATGTTTATGTGCGCCCATGTGCCGGGGCAATAAGGTGATGCTTTCCTGTTACAAGGACGACAACTTAAGACCAACACAGGGCTCGCATAGTAGATGATTTATCTTCAACAGGAAACAATTATGCGCATGGAAGTGGCCCAGCTCGATCCCCGGACTTGAATCCTTATCGAAGCCCGTTTGGGATGCTTTAGGAGAGACGTCTAGCTGTTCTCAATCTGCCCCCTCAGACCCTTGCCGCCCTTGCCGCCCTTGCAACAGCTTTGCAAGAGCAATGGCTCTCGCTTCCTATGAGACTGATAGACCGCATAATTGAAAGCATCACACATCGCTGCATGTGCTGTATTGCTTCTAGAGGCGATCAAATTCATTGAAGGTACTTTCTATAGCAACTGACACCTTCGATTTGTTATTTTATACATGTGCTAATTCTATACTACCATATTTTTCTGGTAATTTTTTTGTGTTATTTGATACCTTACTATGTGTTGTATATTGTGGGTAAGTTTCATTAAATTCTACATATAACGTTTTCAGTAATCGTGATTTTTGTGATTTTTCCTTAATTTATGATAACCAGTGTGTGTGTATATATATATATATGCATCCACTCACTCTGTTACTTGGCTCAGTAAGCTTATTTTTTTATTGTTATATTTGGTAAATTGTGGATTTTTTGCTTTAAAAATGATTGAATTGTAGTTCTTATCTTCCGGTTAAGTTTTTACTCCTTTAGTTAATCTGCATGCAATAGTTATAGAATAATCAACAATTTAAAAGTTTTTACATCACGGCTAAGCTTAATTTTTTTACCATAGCCATGTTTATTTACATTTGAAACTTAGAATAGGGAATTAAGTCTTTTTCTGCATATGCAGTGTTCTTTTGCCGAGTGGGACAAAAGAAAGGCTTCAGTTTTATGCAGGAAAAATATGCCTTCTTTTTGTCCACTTGTGGAACTGATTGTTTTTGCGTAAAGACTGTAATTTTAATTGCGAAAAAAATTTTTTTAATTGTACTGTGCAACAGTGTTTGGTGTTTTGTATTTTTCTATATTTTTCAATTTTTAATAAAGATATTTTGAGGTTTTCTTAATGTATTTTTGCCTTGTCGCGAAGTGAGTACTGGATTAATTGAATGAGAAATCTATCTCTAATGAAATTCCAGGAAATAAGTTTAAATGAAATGCAGCAAAAAATGCGCGTAATTTAATATTCGGTACAAGAAAGTCATGAGGTGTACACATCAGATTCTTTTCTTAACGGATTGGGTGTAGCGAACCGAACTGTTGGTCTGTTGAAGTTCGTTATAGCGATTGTATTTAAAAATCCTGAGAGACCACTCTAGACAACTTCCTGAAAATCTGATGCCATCCACCTCAAAAGGGGAAGAAAATAAAAAAACCCAAATGCCGATGAGAAAGAGGTGAAGGATAGCTAAGACTTCTTCCAATAGAAAAACCGTTAGACTCTGACGTTAGACGAATATCGTTAGACTAAGTAAAAATGATCATAGATTTACATTGCATGTAAATATTTTTATCACTTATAAATGAGTAAATCCTTTTAGCATTCCCAACGTTAATGATGTTTTTAATGTTCCCTGAAATTTTATTAATATTGTTTTGGGATGCTGGAACGTGCTCAAAATCGGATTAAAAGTTTTCCATCGGCAACCTATGGGAAATAACGTTCCACATAGTGAACGATTCACTAACAACAACAATGCAGAACGGATTATGTTCATTGCGAGAGGCTGCAGTGTAATGTAATCCACAAAAAGACATTTTTACCGTTCTGTTTCTATACTCATCTGTGTGTGGAGAAGAATGCATTTCGTGCATGTGTTTGGCATGGAGGTAAAAAGTGTATGAGGACTTTGGTTACGATACAGAAGGTACATTCTGTTTTATATAAAAGGTTTAAAAGTAACGGTTAAAATTAAAATATCTGATTTGGATACTACATGACGGCCAGTTAAATTATACATATTTTTTGCTGCATTTCATTTAAACTTATTTCACCAAATTTCATTAGATATATTTATCATTCAATTAATTCAGTTCTTACTTCGGTGTAAAAATGCATAAAAATTCAAAATATCTTCATTAAACATTGTAAAATACAGAAAAACATAAAACACCAAATAGAGTTTAAACCCGCTAAAAAATTTTACGTTTAAAATTAGAGTTTAAATTCGTTAAAATGAGCCAGAAAGACAAATTTTTCGGTACACAAAACTTTTGGAGCCACTGGGCAAAAAGACACGAAAGTTGGTGCAGAAGCGGACTTAATTCACTGTGCTACTAAGTTTAAAATGCA